GCCTCAGACTCGACGAATCGATATCCTACACATTTAACCTCGACTTATTACTTTTGCCTCGACTTCTTTTTAATACCATTGCTCAGGTATGCATATCCACGTTTACACATCTCTACGCGGGAGCTGGGAGGTGACCCTTGCCCCTCCCCTCCCTTTCACGAAGAATCGGAACCACCTTGCATGCAAGCCCAGATTTCCATCTCCCATCACTACCCGCCCCGCTTAATGTCTTGCCCCCTCTTTCAGTCTCTCTCCTCTCTTACCCCCCCCCCCCCCCCCCCCCCCCCCCCCCCCCCCGGCCCTCCACAGGACACTGGCCATGCTCGTCTGGCCAAGCACACCACCTTGATGCATCATCGACCCCTCCTTCGTCCACTCGCAGTCCCCTGTCATTCCCTGACTGGCCTGGACCCACTCACTCACTAGCACAAGCACCCACCAAGAGCCAGAATCCAGTCCTCACAGAGCCAGCGACCCCCATTCGTCAACCCCCAAACAACACAGAAGCCTCGACTCCGCACACAAGTCAGAGAGACCAGGTGTCCCAGTTGCCCGCTGTTGTCCAGTCCCGAGCACCAAACCACCCACCCTCCTTACTTCTCGAGCAACTACTACTTCTACTTGACCCTCCCTCCCGCTCTCTCAACTGCTATCCTTCTGTGACCTCATGTCCATCCCACTGGATCTATATCTTTCCCAAGGAAACATAAACACTCAGTCCATTTCTCCTCTCAAACCAAGTCCTTCCCCTTCAATGGGTGCAAGAATCTGGAAACACATCACTTGTTCCAACCTCTTCTTCGGTAGTCCTCTGTCAAGCTTAGTCTTGTTGTACTAATAGTTGCCCAGCCTGGAGCCTCAGCGACACACTCTGCTTATTTTGCATTATTCAGTTTCTCAGTTTTCGGTCCTGATCGTTCATAATCCCCAGTTCCTCGCTGCAACCGGATCCAGCCGTGTATTTTTTTGAGGGTTTCCCTTCCCTTCTCTTCCCTTTCGTGTTTCATTTTCACGATTGTTTCGGCTCTTGCTCCGGCATAGCCTCAAACTTCGATTCTTCTCGTTGCATCCCAATTTCCATTACCTTCGCAGCCATTCGATCCCTCGCCAAAGTGTGAAGGGCTGCGTAGAGCAACGACGAAGAACGACACACTTGCACCATTAGCATTCTCATTTTCGCCTCCCGACAATTTTTTGCCTCCCCCCCTTGGCGCCGGTAACCGACCAACCAACCAACCATCTTTATCACGCCCCTTGGTTTCCCCTGATCGTGTACTATTATTTAGTATCACTCTTGTGAAATCGTTATTTCAACCACCTCGTCTTCTCCATCGCCGACACCCCTTGCTGGCTTTCCTAACGTCAATCCCTTCAAGCCGGCTTTCCCCCCGCAAGACTTTGACCTGCATTCGACATAACCATCATGCCCCCCCCGTTACCTCCTGATCCATACAAGACTTTGGGTGTGTCGAAAACGGCACAGATTCCCGAGATTCGCACTGCGTACCGGAAACTCGTCCTCACATGCCACCCCGACAAGGTGCAAGACCCCTCCCTCAAGGAGAAGAAACTTGAGGAATTCCAAAAGTTGCAGCAAGCGTATGAGCTTCTCTCAGACGACAAGGAACGGACCAAGTACGATGACCAGGTAAAGCTGATGGAACTCCGAAAGGAGATGGGCAAGGCTATGCCGAACACGTCATCTCCTCGCACACCTAAGACGTACAACGTGAGCATACGAACTGCCGAGCCGCCCAGATCTTCGCCATTTGCCCAGTCGCCGCCGAAGCCTTCTACGAAGCTGTATACCCAATACTCGGCTTCCCCCTCGGATGACTACATTTTTACAGAAAAGGGTACTGGCCGGACTGCTAGGCGTACGCCTAGCTACGAAAAGACCCCCGGCAGTGCCCGCAAGGAAAGGGAAAAGGAGAGGGATGAGGATAAGGAGCGGGACCGACCTCGCAGGAGGAAAGAGAGGGAAGAGATGAAGGAGGACCGTGAGAAGGAGCGCGAACGCGAGCGTGAGCGGGAGCGTGAACGTGAACGTGAACGTGAACGGGAGCGAGAGCGAGAACGAGATCGCGAACGGGAACGGGAACGCGAGCGTGAGCGTGAGCGACGCCCAAGCGAAAAGGAAGGTCGCAAGACCGAGAAGAGGCGTCAAGAAAAGGAGAAGCGGCAGCAGCGTGGTAGCACGTATGTGGAGGAGTATGATGACGAAGAAGTCAGATCCTCGGAGAAGAAGAAGTCGAGCGGCCGCAAGCACCGTGAGCGCGAGTCGACTCCCAAGGTAGACGAGAAGATGGATGAGAAGCTGGATTTGGCGTCTCAATACATCAAGGCTCGGTCTTTCGCACCAAACCTCGAGAGGGCGGCGACGTTCGACGGCACCTTCCGTCACTCTCCTCCATCGGTGCCGACACCCCCTCCAGCCCGGAGCCCACCCTTCGCACCGCCGCCACGTCCCACAGAAGATGACGATGACGACGACGATGATGAGGAAGAGGATGTCGTCCACCGTTCCCGCGCTCCTCCGTCTCGTCGGGGATCGTATGACTCTCCTCGATCCCGAGACCGCCCATTCATCCGCAAGCAGTCAGTCTCGAGCATCCGAGAGGAAGACCCGCCAATTATCTTGTCAACCTCACCTCGTGTGGTCATTGCCGAGTCACCTCCTCGTGGAATTCCCAAGTCGAGGACGTTCCACGAGGGCATGGGCATGCACCAGCCGATGGCCATCCCGGCCATGAGCAGGGCGTACACGTATGCCGGTGACCCAGTCGATCCGCGTGGTCGAAGCCGATCTAGGCAACAACCCCAACGCATGGTGGAGGTCAGCGAAGAAGAGGATGAGGATGAGGAGCGACATACCTATATGCAGCGAAAGCATAGGAACAGCACCCGACGAGACTCGGGATCCGAAGCCATCGGCATTCCGTACAAGAATAACAAGCCGTACGGATCCGACAGCGGCCGGAGCCTCGGGCGTGAGTCTTCCTCGTACCGGGACTCACCTGGAAGGGGAAGCAAGGTGTACTATGTCAACAGTGCATCGTCGGGTGTCCGACATGTCGAGCCTTATCCCCCCATGTACCACAAGGTCAAGACGAGGAAAGAGTTCACGAACGAGGATGTCGCCTGGAGTCGTTTCAGCGGATTCCCCTCGGAGGTGGGCACTGGTTTCTGATGCTACCAGTTTGCCCGTACTCGACCTCGACCTGTTCCGTGGAAGAACCTCCCTCTCCCAGCCATCCGAATCCCGCGCAGACCGAAACGTGTGTTGCGTGTATATTTCGTGTTGTTTTTTTTTTTTTCCCAGCTTGTGTTTTATCTCTTATTTTCTACCAGCATCATCTGCATCTTGCCCTGCCTTTCGTTTCTTTTCTCATTCATTTTTTCTTCTATTTCATGTTCTTTTTATGTGAATGACGGCCATCTTATAACGGAAACTAACAATATGACGATGCTTCATTCTTTTGGCATACAAACTTATCTTAAACTACATCAAGGTATATTTGGAAATGATAAGGGATACGGGGGATTCTCATATTCCGGTGTCTGGTGATTTTGATTTTTTGTTTGCTGTTTTCTGCCTTTTTCTGTTTCTCTTATTTTTCCACTTGTACTCATCATGGAAGGAGTTCTTTTTCTTTTTCTTCCCACTTTATAGTAACCCTAGCTTATTGGCAGGGTATATTGGGTCGTTTCTTTTCTATTTTATTTCAAGGGCTAGCATTATAACTCGAACAAACTCATTGGGATATTCAAGGTGTGGAACGGTTTTTGGGCAACTTTACTTACGCAAACGGGCACATTTCTTTTTTCGGGATGAGATATTGAAATGAATGAAATCATTTGGAGATGTAGGAAATTCCCACAACAGCATTGGGATTCCGAACAAAGGGGGGAATGAGACCTCGCCCAACAGTCGAGGGAACACGGGAAACAGAGCATTATTTCCAAGCCCTGTTTATTTCTTGGACTACAGTTTTTGTTTCTTTTGAAAGAAAGAGGAAGCGTGTTGGCTCGGGGAGAGAGGATGGAGAATTTGAGGGAATTCGGTTTTAAAGGGGTTTCAAATTTCTTGAATCCTTTCCTTTTTGCTTCGTGGTTTCTCTCTTGGTTCTTTCGGACTCTTTCTTTTTGAATCTATACGAAACTTTTGCATTCTTTTGCTATGGCTCTGAAACCTTTTTCTCTTGACTTGCTTGCTTGTGAAGTTGCGATTGTCTAGTGATTTGCTTGTTTGTAGATTCGTACCGTTATTGTTAGAGCCGATGTATCTTGGGTAGTTGAAGCGACGGCTAGATCAGAAAGAGAAAGAGTGTGTTGGCGCTTGTACTATGGATAGGGAACCTCCGGTAGCTACCTCTCTCATACCGTCTTATCTGTATGTTCTCTTTCTCGAGGTTGATGGGATCAACGAGGATGACTTTTGGATGTTGGGGTCTATGTATACAACAGCGAGAAGGCAACCGGTCGAAGATGTGTTATAGCCGTGGGGAGCCAGGACGTCGAAGTCTAGTTTTGGCTCGAGACATAGGTGAGCTTGCTGCCTTTCCGGGAGGCATGAACCGCGGTGGTTTCTTACGGTTTCCAAAGGAGCGATAGAAGTTGTCTTAATCGTTTGGGGATATTTGTTTTCTTTTCTTAATTTGAGCCTGAGACAGAGAAGCCATGGGCTTCCATAGTGAAAGGTATAGATGATCTATTCGAAAGATTGAGAGAGGAGCAAAGAAATGGGGGTTTCCTCGGGGTATGAATGTCTATAAGATAAGCCAAGAATAATCAAAAACGATATGATGTAAAATGAAACAAGCCAAAGTGCCAGTATCTTGATCCCTGAACGCCGAACCCCATTTGAAGGGGTTATGAAATCGATGGTGATGAAGAAAAACGAGTCCCATGCCAGCAGGGTGAATCGATTCGAGCCAGACCGAAATGAACGGAGTTCACAAGCTTCTTCTTACTTTCCCAGTCCTCTCCAGCGAGCTCTCTCACATCAAGACGTAGAGCGAGCAAATCTATAGTCTCCAAGTTAGCCAAAGCCACAGCCAAAGAAAAGCAAAAGAAAAAAAAAAAAGAAAAAAAAAAGTCAGAGAGAACTCACCATACTCAACCCCAAAATCATCGAACACCAAAACATGGCATTATTCAAAGTATGCCTATTCTTAACCCACTTCGTCCTCTGCAAAACCACAATAGGCAACTGCAGCATCTGGCAAGCAAACCCATACCCCCTCAACTTCTTCGTAATGCAAGCCAGCACAATCTCGTGACCCACAGCCGAGATCAAAAACGTCATGACCGTCGCCATCGACTTGCCCATCCTCGCGCGACTGGCCGAGTAGACGTGCCTCCGTAGGAAGGAATGCACGGGCACGTTCCACTCCCGGGAGAACTCCATCCAATCGGTCGAGTTCCACCAGTCGGAGTAGAAATGGCGGTCGGCGAAGCGGGTGATTTCCGCGAATGCGCCGAGGACGTACTCGAAGATGACGAGGAAGACGAGGAGGAAGGTTACCATGAAGGGGAAGAGGAGCCAGGAGATGGTTTCGGCGAGGATGAGGAGGGTTTCGGAGACGGAGGGGGCCGCGGTGGTGGTAGAGGACGGGTTGAGTCGGTCGGAGGCGTCGGTGAGCACGGGGAGGATGAATTCTTCGGAGACGATGGTAAGGAGGAAGATGGAGACGAAGGTGGCGACGAATTTGCTCGAGAGCGCAGCCCAGTCTATTTTGGGCGTGCGCGGGTACTCGAGCTCGTAGCAGAGGGTCGGGCAGAGGAGGTAGTCGAGGTAGTTGGACCAGGTGAGGTTGCGCGGGTATGTGACATTGCCCATGGGGCTAGTGAGTTCGCCTGCGAGGTCTTCGCGGAGGTTTTCGAGCTCTTCGTCGGAGCAGCAGGCGGCTTCGTCGATTCTGCTCTTTCCGTTACCGTTGGCGTTGGTTTTAGCGTTAGATTTACCATTCCCGTTGCCATTGAGGTGATGGACAACGTGGTGCTTCTCGCGGTGGCTGAACGAGGGACGCTTGGGACTCGACAGGGTGCCCTCGGGGTTCTCGGGGCTGGGATACATGTAGACGGGATCCTTTGACGCCGTCGACGGGTTATCCAGCGCGCGCAACCTCTTCTCCGTCTCGCTCAAATGTCCATTGTAAAAAGCATACGAATGCATCTTCATCAACATGGTCATGGTATGCAGCAAGAAAAACACCTGCGCCGTCCACGTCCAATCAAAAAGAAACGGCACAGCGACCCAAAAGGCCAACCATGTAACCTGATACAGACTCTGCACGGCCATGCCACTGTTCTTCCACGTCCCCAGCGACTCGGCAGGGAATTTCCTCCAAAGGCACTGCAATGGTAGCGCGGCGGCCGTCGTAGCCACCATGAGGAAATCAGCGAGGGCGAGCTCCTGCAACTTTACGGTGAAGAGGGCCCAGATCTGCACGCGCATGGGGTATCCCGTATCCTTGATGTTGCGCAGCATGGTAGTGATGGCGAGGATACATAGCCCGATCCAGAACAGCGTGTAGAAGCCATGGAAGTCCTTGTAGTCCGAGTTGGGGTCGAAGTGAGAGACGCGCGATGTATAGTCGACGGTGGGGAAGATGCGGCGGCGGAGGCGGCGCTGCTCGGCGCGGGCGAGCTTGCGGGCTGTGAAGAGGTATTGGTCGGAGGGGGGCGCATTTTCGGGGAGGGGGGTGCTGGTGCCGCTGCGATTTTGTTAGTTTTCTGGGTGTGTTCCTCTTGTCTTTTCTGCCGTTCTGGTATATGCAATTGAGGAGAGGGGAAGGAGAGAAGGGATAGGACACACCTGGGAGTCTCGCCGGGCGAGGGAATCTCGGGCGAATTGCGCAGGTTGCTGCTCACGGAGGGTGTCGTGTTGCCATTGCCGGGCCCGCGGTCGCCCTTGTGCCGTCGGACTTTGCGGTGGCGTGAGTTGAGGGTTGTGTCGTCGCGGGCCGTCACGATAGTGTTTGCGACGGCGGAGCGTGTCGAGGCCGATGCCATGTTGGCGCCGGGGTAGACAGTTGATTGATTTTTTTTGCGTGTCGCGGGTCGAAAAAGAAAGAAGAAAAAGTTTGATCCGGGGTTTAGAAAGGATATCTCGTTAGAGGGAACAGACAAAAAAAAGCAAGGGTTCCTAAGATTTCTCGAAGCGAATTGATGAATTGGGTGAGATCTGCTATCTCAGTCTTCCTGATAAAAAGAGGAGAAGCTCCTCCTCGCTCGCTGAGAAAAGGTGTCGTAATCGTGCATGCAAAATGCGACTATAATTCCTCCGGTCTGCCTTGCTGCAGCGGCAGTCAAGAATTCAAGGGTAGATAAAAAGAAAATAAAAAGAATCAACACATGCCCAGAGCAATTGCCGATTCCAGAAGATGGAACGACGTGGGGAGCTTCCTAGGCATCCGGATACTCCGGGTGTTTATAGTCTGATGGAAGAAGAAAAAGAAGGAAAGGGAAATGCGTGGATCGGGAGTGGACAGAAGGGGGGAGGGAGCTTGGGGCTGAGGAGTTGATGACGATGATGATGATGATGTTAGTGGGACAGACCGGGATTGGATTGCTCCTTCCGTTGGACTTGATGGGATTTTTCGGAGCCTCTTTTGACGAATGCTACTGTTTGAAGTTGGGGGAGCTTGATGAAGGAGCGGAGTGTTAATTCTCGTCAGAGAAAAATACAGAAAATACTACTTCATACTTATTCGCTTCATACTTTAGACGCTAAATAGTCCACGTTTCCTTCGTTCTTGTTCCAGGACCTGTTTTGAGGGCCTTGGCTCCAAGGCAAAATGTCTCCTCGTGGCGCCGGGACGAAGTAGCTTTGCCACATGCGCCGCATCAGGAATAGATCGAACATAGGAACTTCCTCTCCCTTTGTCAATTGCCATCTTCTGATCTACCATACGGAGTACTCCCTTGGGCTACGAAACACCGCGCGACACAATGGCTTTTAGAAGATGCGCTAAAATGGAAGGAGAAAGGAAGAAAGACTCTTGCGAAGCGAGAGGTCTGGACCGGCACGGCGCCAGGCTGGCTCAAAGAGCGCCAATGGCTGATGTCTTCTCTGATCCCAGTGGTTCGTTTCTGAGCTTGATGACACTTGGAGGAGACAAGGTGACCCTGGTAACCCCTTTCGTACCTGGTAGCCGGGGTGAAAGGACAAGGTTCAACCCCGACCGTTTCGGGGAATATGGATGGATATTAACCCATGTCCGGCAAAGGTGAACAGGAAACCAATCCAAGCACACTACATTGCACTTTTCATGCTCCATGGGAAGGAGATGCAAACGTTCGGAGAAATGCATTCGCAGATCCCACGTCTAATTACCTCGGCATTTTTTGGTCAATGCCTCGCCTAGCTACTCACATCATGATGTTATTATGGAGATAGAAACAAGCCAAGAATGGCGATCGGCAAGGCAGCAGCTGCATAAGACAATTCCCGCATCTCTCGGAATCAATGTCGATTGCGAGAGAACTACCCAAAAAGACGTACGAAGTACTACGTCGGCTTCGTCAGAGTCGGGTTACGCGTCGACTTTGCATGTACGATAGGCATCAACATTTGTTGTACAGCGGGACGTCTTTGCTCTTCTCAAGGCGTCAGTTTGATGGAGAATGGCTAGCAAGCCTTCGGAGCATCTGAAATGACTTGTTGAGGTCGGCCAAGACGAGCTTGGCAGAAGAGGTGCTGGAAATGTAGATCGTGCAGCGACTCTTCGAGACACCACTTACACCACGTCTCACAGAATTGTCCGCTTCCACGACATATCCAAGGCATTTTCATCTTCATTGCATTTCTCTACATAGGTTTTTTTTTTTTCTTTACCCGTCTACTCAATTCCTTCCCCATACCTTCGATACCAAAATCTAAGATATCGTCTTCTCAATCATGGTAATACCATACTTCTCCTTCAACTCCTTCATAATAGGATCATTAATCTTCGAGCTCATAGGCGCAAGCACGCCCCTCTCCGAAAGCGTGCCATCAAGAACCTGCTTAACCGCAACACCGCAGGGAACACCGACCGTCTTAGCCATGGCCGAGTAGCCCTTGGGGTCACCGTACTCGCAGAGCGTAGAAGTGCGCGTCTCGCGACGGCCATCGGCATGCTCGATGACGAACTTGTGCTGCAGCATGACAAAGTCTCGCTCGCCCTCCTCGAACTGCATCTTCTTCTCGAGCGTGGCGCAGAGCGTGTCGAGCGGGTTTCCGCGCGGGATGATCTGCTCGTCCGAGAAGATGCCGATCCATCGGAGACCGCTGAGGATGCGGGCCTTCTCCTCGGGCGAATCGAAGGTGGCCTTGGAGGCGATGGCGGCCTCGAGGTCGGCCTCGCTGGAGGAGGCGGCGCCGACGATGGTCTTGGTGGCATCCTTCCATGCGATGGGCTGGTCGAGGGTGGCCTGGGCCGTGTCGTCGAGGAAGCCGATCTCTACGAGCACGCGGATGAACTGCGGGAAGCCCTGGTACCGGAGGGTGCCGCGGATGATAGTCTCGGCCTCGGGGATGTTGTAGCGCTCCTTGTAGGGGGTGGAGTCGCGGTTGGGGTAGGCGACGAAGGCGTAGCCGGGGTAGATGAAGTAGGGCTTGGCGGTGCCCATGAGGTCCTTGGAGGCGACTTCGACTACCTTGCCGTCCTGGTAGTACTTGGCGGCGTTGCGGAGAGCGAGGAGCACGCCCCGAGAAGACCACGAGAATTTGTAGCCGAGCGGGTTATCCGAGTCCTCGGGTGCAGGCCTTTAACTCGGTTATCAGTAACCCTCCTTTTTTTTTCTCGAGAAACTTGGTGCGAATAGAAACGAATAACTCACAGGCCGCCACAGAAGCTTAGGAAGGAGATGATCTTGCCACCCTCAGCATGGACCTCCTCGATGGTCTTGACAGCATCTAAGCGGGTTAGTATTCCATGCTCGATTCATATCCTACAAAAGGGTTCTCTTACAGAGATGATCAATTCCGGGATCTGTAGGGAGAGTCAGCTACTTCTATTTGCAAGAGGGGGGGTTGGAGTTGGGGTTGGGGTTCGAGAGATGCCCCTATAAGAGAGAAAAGGAAAGGGAAACCTACCCAAACCGATCTCGTTCATGACGGTGATGCCAGCATCCTTGCACTGCTGGTCGAGCTCCTGCATGGCGGGCGATACGTAGCTCGTCGTGACGACATGCTTCTTGTTGCGGATGGCCGACTTGATGACGGTAGCGTGGTGCGTGTAGGGGATCAAGCTAATGACGAGGTCGTGCTTGGCCACCTCGGCGTCGAGGGCCTGCTCGTTGCTGACGTCGACGGAGGTAGGCGTGGCGTTCTTGACGCCCTCGGAGAGCTTCTTGGCAGACTCGAGAGTCCTGCAAGCTACATTGTGTGTTTCGATTGTGAGTATTGGCGATAGGAGGGAAGGTCAGGGAAGGTCAGGGGTGCGGAGGGCCCCGGGGTGAAGATGTCGTACCAACGGTGACGTGGACGCCGGCGTCGCTGAGGATATCAAGAGTGGGACGGGTGACGAAGCCCGCTCCGAGCATGAGGACTTTCCTGGAGACGCATTTCTTCGTTAGAGCCTTGTTTCCTAGTAGTAGCCGGGTGAGTCCTGTGAATCAATTGATGCTTACTTGCCGCTGGCCATGTTGGGCAACTTTGACGACGTGCGATATCGGTGGTGGAAGAGGTGGTCTTGAAGAGGGGTGAGAGTGAGTCTGAGAGGGTCAATTGACCAACAAATGAAGCCCAAGATGTAGATTTCTCGGCGTGGAAACTACTCCAAGGACTCTTTTTTGTTGTAAGAGTAGAAGAAGTGACGGTCCGGAGATGGGTACGAAGTAGATCCGGGGTTGGCGTGGTGGGGGTGGATTTTGGGATTTTTTTTTTCTTCGTCCCTCCGTCGTCGAACGCCCTCTCATGTTTTGGCGGGGTAGTTGGCCCATTTCCATCGAGGACAATTGGAGGGGCACAATTGGAGGGGCACAATCGGCACAATCGGGGTTCTTCTGCTTACAAACGCCTCGCCTGTCAGAAGTCGTCAAATCCGCCGCAGAGCCCGAAAGTTCGGAAGACCCTGAGGGTCCCGTACTATTCACCAGCGAGATCGGAACGTATGTTAGTCATGTTTCGTCAGAAGCATCGTTCGGGGATATTCCATTGTCGGGGGAGCTTGTCTCCATTGTCCATGCCAGAAGGACTTCGTAAGTTCAGCGCGTGATCTACTTGGATTGAAGCACTAGTAAAGGGAGATGAGCCGAATAAAATCTCCCCGAGTACGCATTACACAGAAATTGGTTTCTTTGGAGACGGCGAACCAGTCTCCCTGCCGTAACCCGCTGTTCCACCGCATTTAAACTCCCATGCTTTACTCTGTATGGGCGCAACATGCCACTATCATGTTATGTAGAGATTCATTGGAGAACGATAGATTGATGTAGCGTGGGAGTACATTTGTGGCTGCTCCGGGCCGGGTTACTTGGGCAGAGAGCATCAAATTGGGACGAAACACAAAATCTCCAATCGTAAAAACTTGCTTGGAAAAGAAAGAAAAGAGGAAGAAGAAAAAGTCTCGAAAAGAGAACAGTCCATCGGGGATCCCAATGAAAACCCCGAAAGAAACTCATGTCTTACATGAGAAGGTCTAGCTCAAGGACAAAGTAATACATAGGAAGCAGTGCAATTAGTGGAGAGCTACGGGGAAGATGCCCTCCAATGTGTCACATCAATAATTAAATGGCTCTCAGTAATAAGTGAGATTGTAACACTGAGATGCGTCTCGTATCTGAATCGCGACAGGTCAACTCAACCCAACACTTTACCACGTTGTATTGGCAGTTAGACTGAGCTGGATACCTTGTCGACATGAGCAGACTTCTGCTGCATATAGCCTCTTTCGGTTCAATCTAGCTTCGCAGGAAGTACGAGTATGCGTAGAAGTCGAATGGAAGGGGAAAAAATAGAGTGCACGTATCGATTGCACTGCATCGATATAGGGTTGATTATACACGCCTCACCGAACAGTCGAGATTACTGTGCTTAACGCTCTATACGAAGTATATCCTCAACCTCCTCCCGTCCCGCCCTTCGTCAGTTATGTAGTCAGGCCTAGCAAAACGATGGGAGTTTAGTTTGAAACCATTTCGATGATCTTGTCCATAGCACAACAAGGATCTGTCCACCCTAGTCGCCGCATTGCCCTTGGCAAGGCCTGGCGCGCCTAGATGATGACGCGAGCTGCAAGCCATTAACTAGGATAATGGCCCCCTTGTTGTTCCTAGTCTCCTTATCCGAGGACATCAAGCAGAAAGCCAATTCAATGGCAAGTCAGCGAGGAACGAGGGACGGGGCTCGAATGCATAGTGCAGCTCCTCAATACAAGCACACTATTTACTAGTCAGACCTTGAATCGTCGGGCGTTGGGGTTTTCAACCAGCCTTGCAAAACGCGGGCCCGCCAGGAACGGGATTAGGGGGGATAAAAAAAAAACGGCTATGGTATACGCCATCCCCAATGGGTTGTCGCTCTGAGTATCTCATCGTACGCTGCGTGGGAGAATGTGGTGGACGTACTTCGCAATACCATTTGATGTCTTGATCACTCATATCAAAGAGCAACTGATGGAGACAAGACATCGATAGTGCAGCGGGTCCACGGAGGCGAAGCTCATGGTTGGATATTTGATCAATGCTTGTTTGGTTTATCCATGCAGCTCTTCCCTGTCGCTTCGATCATGTTAGAGCTCAAACGGCGCTATTTCGTGCACTACTCTAGTGCAAGACTGCAGCCGGGGGATGATTGATGTTAATCTAGTTAAGGTACCACCAACCAGCACTAATGACGATGGTCCTGACCAGGCTCTAATAGTGCGAGCAGCATCCCGGTCTGAATCGGAAAAGGAGGATGCTGATCCAGAGTCATTCATCATCAATATCAACAGACTCACCCAAGAAAGAAACGAAACACTAGCAGCGGGAGAGATGATTGATGAAAATCAATTGAATTCTAGGTAGGGTCTACTGTCAGTCTGTAGTGTGGCCAGTGTAGTAGTACTGCGTCTGCGTACATGTATCAGTTCCAAATAAGCAATGAGCTCCGATGTAAATTTACTTGAGGAAATTCGATGTTGTCATTTCCACGAGGAAGGGATGCAAAATGTGAAGGGAAGGTACGTCCCTCCCCACCAACGCCATGCGTCTGCAGATTGAACTGAACTGATTTGATCACTCAATTCGACCTGATCCTCTCTTCACCGATTCCCTCATTGCTCGCTTCACGCATGCCCGCATCCACTTGGTGTCTGCGCTCTACGCTAACAGCCTCTGTCCTCGGCTTAGCCTCCGGCAGCCGCCTGGCCACTTGACCTATTTTCGAGCTCGACAGCTTCTTAACACGGATCGTCGCATTTCGCTATTCCCCTATTTCCAAAGCTCTCTCAGGCTCAAGCGCCCATCTCGACCGACCGGGAGTAACTGAGAGTGACTGAGAGTGGGGTGGCATGTCACAATAGTACAATCCTCAATCCTCTACCAAATTCCGTCTCTGATTCCCCCTCTAATATCCAATAAAGAAGCGGGCTACTTGCACGTACAGCACAGGGAAAGCAGGGCAACATCGACACGAAGCTCTGCTACCCCCATCGGCTCACGCCTGCGCTTGCACCTTGCACCCTGCATCCAGCAGCGCGTACGGAGCTCAAGCTACAATCCTCGACACCATCCGACTCCAAGCTCTACCTCCCCCGGCATCCTTGTCTTGGCCACTCTAATTTACGAGGCACACATCCGCACACACGCACACACACCTCCTCCTTATCTTCCGTAGCTCGTGGTCCGATCGCTTCCCGCCACCAGCTCTCCTTTGCTTCGTCCTTAGCAATTTAGCCCTGTCGCCGTTCTTGCGAGCCTCGTACTTCTTTTGTTTTGATGAACTCTCCCGTTATCGTCGTGAATCCTGCATCATCCAACCTCACGATCCCGCACGTGTCGTCGCATCATATCCTTCCCGCCTTCACCCAAGAAGAGGCAAACCTCGAGGCGAAGCGAGGCGAATCGAAACCGTAATGGATTGACAGCTTCAACCAGTTTCTTCGTCCGCTCAATCATTCACCCACAGAGTTATTCTAGCTCTATTCTCTCTTTTCATTCTCCTTTCCATTCTCGATGCACCCAAGCTTGCTTCTGTCCTAAATTACACCTCCCCTTCTCCGCCTCTCTCCTCCCCCCGACCGCCTCCTCATCCTCGCAGCTGCCGGCCCCCCGCATTGCCTTTCTCCCCCCTCCTCCCGGGCCGCGTCCCCCAATTTCTCCTCTTAGCTGCCATCATCAAGCTGGGTTTCTGCGGAGTCGATTTCCTACCTCTGGCGATTTCGAGAGTCGAGAGCGAGTCCGACTCGCTGAACTGCCATCATGGCGGCTGAAAAGGAACAGGTCTACGCAACGGTTCGTGTCTCCCCCAACCTCTCTGTGTTTTGCTACGACGACGCCAATTGTTGTGTTGTGCCACTACCTTCGTTTTTTATCGTGTGTATCAGTGGCGTGTGACTACTCGTAGCTTCAAGTGAGGATGCGTCTAGTGTCATGTCATATTCCCGACGAAGCTTCTCTGCCAACCCTTAATAGCCCCTTGCTTTGTTTGTGGCTGATGGCTCTCTTCTTTTTTTTTTTTTTTTTTTTTTTTTTTTTTTTGCTTCTTTTCCACTTGTGTCTGTCCGTGCTACGTCATTTCAAAATAATGATGCAATGGCGCCCAATTATCGCGGGTTTTGCCCATTTGAGCTAACCGCTTCTAATGCTCTGGAATAATAGCTGCTGCTCAGCGACACATATCTCCCAGGTAATTAGAACCCGCCTCGAACGAACTCAATTGGCGTTGAAAGAGATTCTGACCTGGGATATTTCTATTTGCGTTGGAATAGGTGCTTTAGTGCTTGCGCACTCGCTCATCGACAATGGCACCACGAGGAAGCTTGCCGTCCTCGTGACAGAGGATACGGTGTCTCCCGAAGCTATCTCCCAGCTCCAGGTTCGTTCTTATTCTAGTTTCAGTTTTAGTTTTAGTTTTATTCTGTCCTTTCCTTTTTTTCTTTTTTTTTTTTTTTGGAGTTTGGCTGCGCGACTAGCTTCGCAAGGCCTCCGACTAACACTTGCTCGTACAGACCGTCTACAACTATGTCATCCCCGTCCCGAGGATACGCAATGCTCACCCCAACCTCCACCTCATGAACCGAGCCGACCTCCACTCGGCCTTCACCAAGATCGCCCTATGGAAACAGACCCAGTTCTCCAAAATCGTCTACGTCGACGCCGACGTCGTCGCTTACCGTGCCCCCGATGAACTCTTCGACATCGACGCCCCCTTCTCCGCCGCCCCAGATATCGGATGGCCCGACATCTTCAACTCCGGCGTCATGGTCCTCGAGCCGAGCGAGGCCGAGTACGAACGTCTCGCCGAACTCGCCAGTCGCGGCGCCTCCTTCGACGGTGCCGACCAAGGTCTCCTGAACCAGCACTTCGGCCGAGATTACAACCGTATTAGTTTTACTTACAACGTTACCCCCTCAGCGCATTATCAGTATATACCCGCCTTTAAGCATTTCCAGGATAGCATTAGCATGGTGCATTTTATCGGCTCGCAAAAGCCTTGGTTTCAGGGTAGGCCTGCCTTTAGTACGAGCGGAGGTGGCGGCGGCGACCTGAGCCCGCATGATGGAATGATTGCGAAGTGGTGGTCGGTATATGACCGCCACTACGGGAAAGACACGGTATGATTCTCCCACCCTTCTTGGCGCTGGTTTGTTGGAACTCCCGTGCTAACCAACTTTCTTTCTTTCTCGCGTGAACAGGAGCGAACACCCGAAGAGGAGAAGAAATCCGAGCTTGTCAAGTACTTCGTCAAGGGAGAATACTGGCCGCCAGGCTCCGAACTCCAAGAAGGCCAACCCCAGGCTCCGCAACAGCCCAGGCCCAGTATCAATGAGGCATTCTTTAGGGGATTCCCTCCCCCTGAAAGGGTGACGGAGGGGGAGACTGGCGAGGGATATGACGGCGGGCAGCACTACGTTGAACATCACGAATGGCCGAGTGAACAGTATGAAGAGAGTCGTGGTGGATATCCCGAACGTCGTGAGCACCACGTACATCATGAATACCACGAGGAAAGGCATCATGAGCACCACGAGGAGAAACCTTACGAACAACATCACGAGGAAAAGCATTACGAACGCCACGAGGAGCAACACCGTGAACACCACGAGGAACACCGCGGTGAGGAGCATCATGAGCAACACCATGAGCCGCCTCATGAAGAACACCGTGAACACCACGAACACCACGAACACCACGAACACTATGATCATCACCGCCAGGAGCACCATCACGAAGAATACCAACCGCAACCACCTCCCATGGTGTCAACATGGGATGCACAATGGTAAGAGAACGAATTCGCTACCACGCGCGTATCCAAGTCCCACGATTTCAACCACGTGGAGCTGATGAGGTCGGCCTTACACTAACGTTGAACTCATATAGGCAACCTCCTCCACGCGGTGGTAGACCCGAGGCAGAGAGTTTCCCGGATACAAAATACGAGATGTCTCGAGATATCACCCCCTTCGTACCTCCGGAGCGGTACCCCAGCCCTCCCCGGGATATGTGGTACAAGGTTCCCGAGGAGCCCCCGGCGCCGCCCACCGAGAAGCCTCGGCCCATTTTCCCATGGGAGACGCACCAGCCGCCGCCGACTCGGGTGTTTGCCGATTACACAGCCCCGGAATATACCGAAGAGCCGCAGATCGCGTCCCCCGAACCACCTAGATTCGGCGCCTTGCCTGGTGGACCTACCTCGCCCGCCTCCGACACTGGCCGCAGCGTCGGCTTCGGCGAGGAGAAGGAGGTGATTCAAGGCACTCTCGAAGAACCCCCCGCTCTAGTTGAGACCCCGTCTGCGGTAGAGCACTATGGTGAGCCGCATACGCCGCCACCCGAGAGCGCCCCTGGATTAGCACCTCCGCTGCCTCTTAAATGTGAAGAGGAACCAAAATTCCAGGCTTCGGACTTTTGGGCGTCCCCGTCGGCCACGAATGCTTGGGATGAAGTTCCCGGTATCCGCAGATACATTGAGCGAGTCATCGACCAGACAGGCCTCGGTGGACCTCGCCGATACTCTGGGGCTTCTCGCCGCCAGAGGCAGCTGCAAGCTGCTGTAGAGGCTTCCGGGGGCCGCCGTCGGCGTTTCTTCACGGCTACAGACTTCCTCAGCTCCGACGACAGGCAAAACCTGTCGCTGACCCCCGTCCCCCTGAGAACGGGTGATAGAGGAGAGGAAGTAGAGCCCGTGGGATTCCCCATACCGCCCAGCGGCGACGAAGGAGAGGAAGAGGAAGAGAGAGGAGAAGAAGAACAGACGGGCAAGGCCGGGACTACTACCGCCACAACCAAGCCGACCGTGAAGCCACGGCTCGCCGAGGCCAAGGGTGTGCCCACGCAGTCTGACTGGGTATGTGTGCACGGGCGCCGCTGGGGCCCAGCCGACTGTCTTTGCGACCTGACTAACGTCCTCCGCGTGCACAAGAACCCCGTGGAGCAGCTCGAGAAGCTGGCGCGCTTACACCGCCTCGACCCCCAGTCCGTTCTCAGGAGGCTGTCGGCTGAGGACCCTGACGCGAGGTCGAGGGGGGTACCTGCGCGGTCGCTGCCTCCGAGCTCGGAGGGGGTGCTGCTCCACGCTGAACAACAACAACAACAGCAGCAGCAGCAGCAGCAATGGTGGCGGCGTCACTCTCACCAGGAGGGAACGTACCTTGGCCATACTGTGGATGAAGAAGAGAGGCAACGGGAGAGAGAGTACTACGCGTGGAGTAAAAGCGCTGCTGTCAAGAGCAGAGGAGGAGGTAAAGTGGTGGTCGACACGGGGACCATACCTGAGGGAGCACCGATTCTCGCCCCGGTCCCCGTAAAGGCAGGGTTACCTGCCAGCAAAGCGGCGACGACAACGTCCCGCCTCATCCCCGGCCAAATCCCCCCACTGCTTGAACCATCCCAAGTAGAAGAAGAAGAAGTAGAGGAGGAGGAAAGACGGGAGGAGGGAAAGGAAGGACAGACCCGCCGCATCAACGGCCACCCGCGCTCCCGATACGAACAAGTCTTCCCCTCTTCCTCCCCGAGGGGAAAAGATAAAGCTAAGGGGAAAGGGAAAGGGAAAGGCAAAGGAAAGGGTATCCCCGAGCCGAGCTATACGGGGCCCGGAGCCGCGTGGGAACCGGGGGCGTATATCCCGACGAATGTTAGTGGGGCTTTGCCGCCTGAGGATGAGATGGATGTTCTTGATACTTGAGATGGTTGTCGGCAAACACTTTACTTGTGCGGTTTTTGAAAGGGAAGGGGGCAGGAAGTACGGGTTTCTTTTCTGTTCTATTTTTGGAATGAGGTTAATTTGTGAGAGGACTTTTACTTTCATGGTCGTGATGGAAGGGCTAATGGGTGTTTTCTTTCGTATTCATGGATGGGAACGATGGAGATGGGGGGTGAGGAAGAAGAGTGTTTCTATATGTATCAGTAGTGAGAGTACGTTTGAGTAATGGCATCAAAGCAATCGAGCATAACCCCCAAAATTGAATCAATGGTAATAACATCAAACCTTCCATTTATCGAATATATAATTTTTTTTTTTTTTTTTCTCTAGACTGGCCTTCTTGGAAACTTGGACCTTGGGAGATGTCATCTCACTTATAAGTGAAGGCGGGCGAGGACACGTCCGTTTCCGGGGGCAGACCGTTTCCTGCGGGGTTTTTCTCTAAACATAGATCTACCGAGGACAGGGCATCTCGACTGCCATAACCACGAGAATTGCTGGTTCCGCCTTGATGGTTCCGCCTCGCTGGCGCGCAGCCAGTGAATAAGCCAAACTTCAGGGAAATGGAGTCGACAGACGTCAGCTGTTGGATGTAAGGTGGAAGAGGCCGGGCTTAACACAGCGCTTGGGAGTCGTTATGGGCGGCGCCCTCGACCGCGAGCGAAGTAAGAAACAACATCACGAAAATAAAGATCGATGCTATAGATCAACGAGGCTCACATGGAAGAAAAAAAGGCCGCCAACGCCATGGATGTATTGATGTATACACCACCAAACTAATGGAAGGGAGGGGAAAAGAGAAAAAAACAAGGCTAACATACATACATGCAAGGACGAGGATGTGGGGTATTCGTTTGTATTTACATCTCTCTTCCTTCCCGCGCGGTGATTCCCCTGCGCTCCGCGGCTTTTGATCAAGAAAAAGGACAAAGAAAACGAAAAACTTGCTGCAATTCAACACATAACGTTGTATTGCTCATTCTTCCTCGGATCCGTCTTCCACCATCACGCTTTTCCCTTTTCCGTTTCCGTTTCTATCGGCGGTTCCGTTGGTGCTCGATCCAGCTAGATCCTCGTCTCCGTTGGGCACAGAAGTGGTAGGACTCTCCTTGTGCTCCTGTTCTCGTTCCTCTCGCTCCTCTTTCTCTTCCTCCTCCTCCTCCTCCTCTTCCTCTTCCGCCTCCTCCTCTTCCTCTTCCGCCTCGGGAATATCTGGTGTCGAGTTCGACGACAACCGCGCCTGGTTGGCAAAAAGCTGCGAGGAACCACCCCAGTTGGGCATCACCGGATTCGGCGCCAGGACGGGGGTCTGATGCTCGTCGTCTTCCTCAGCATGAGGCTGAGGAGACACGGGGACTGTCGAAGCAGCCGCCGCCGCTGCTGCCGCCAGAGCTGCGGCCGCAGTTGCCGCTGGCGGTTGTGGACGAGGGTAAGCTACACCAGCCCTCGGCACATCATTTTGTTGATGATGAGGCGCGGCGGAACCATTAATTCCAGGGTGAGACGGGACTGCAGAGCTTGAACCAGACGCATAAGTCTGGCTAGAAGAGCCCGCCGTGGCTTCGGTCTGTTGTTGATGTTGTTGTTGAGGAGGCGGCGTCGCCGTGTGGGGTATGGCGGGGAGGTTCTCCATCCGCTGAAGGGGTAGTAGTGACCAACCCGGAGGCAGGACAACACCCTCAGGCAGCTCTGTGCTACCGGCGGGAATGGCAGTAGTGTTAGGTGGCGCTGCGTATCTCGACATCGAGCTACTAGCGCGGTAAGGGTACGACGCAAGATGAGGAAAGGAGGGAGGATGGTACTGAGGGAATGTGTGAGGCGGAATAGCAGGGGGAGGGGGTGGTGTTCGAGAGTGCTGAATAGGGGGCGGCACTTGGGAGGAAGGCGTGTTTGGTTGGGTATAATGAGGGGTGGAGATGGTCGGATTCGGGACGGGGAGATTTTCGGTAGAGGCGCGGAGATGGCGGAGACGGATGAGTTCGGCGAGCAGGAGCTGGGCAGTTTGGAGCTCATGCTGTATGTTCTGGAGGGTTTGGAGCGATGCCAACTCCCGGTTGACAAGGTTGTCGAAGCTGGAAGACAAAATGGTATTGGTCGGAGACGAAGGTTGTACGTTAGTCGTAGGAGTGGGAGTGGGAGCGCCATCCTCAGTAGCGGCAGGACGACCACCACCCGGAATATTCCCATCTAAGAAAGCATCGAGATCCTGCCTGTTCCGCAGCTCTTGTCTGATGATCTCCAACCTAAATGGTCCAAAGCTGAACACGCGGTGTCGCGGAGCTGCCGGCTGAGGCTCGTTTTGAGCGCCGCCATCAGCCTGGTTGTTGTCCTGCACACCGCCGTCACCGCCGGGTATCGGTTGCCTCTGGAAAGGTGCAGGCACCTGGCCTTGTTGGTCATTCGGCTGCTGTCCCTGATTCTGCTGCTGTTGCTGTTGGGGTTGTGCAGCCGGGGCAACACGAGGGCGTCGATTTTGGTTCGTAGGTTGGCCGTCAACGACTGGACTCCTGCAAGTGGGACATACTTGCTGTCGCTCCAGCCAGCTCCGAAGACATCCAAAGTGTAGGATATGGCCACAAGGTAGCTTCTTGGGTCGCGTCCGTTCGACAGCTCCAGGGATCGGCTCCCAAGGCCGCATTTCCTCGCGGCAGATTATACAAGTATCTTCCCGATTAAGATCCTCGGCGGTGGCATCGGGATACTTGTTCATGCTTTGGATGGCTCGGCGGTATTTCAGTAATGCAGAGAGTCTCTTGAAGAAGGCGCTGGCGGTAAGGTAGACATCACGCATAATGTGAACCGGCAGGCCGTAGAACATCAGAAGGACAGTGAAGAAGGCCATGTAAATGGCAAGCTTGACAAAGTCTACCAGAAATGTTAGTTAACAGTACCAATGCCTGGTGTGACCTTCAGATTTGGACCTACCCGTGAAGAGCTCAAGAGATAAAATCCATTGACCCTTGGACTCCCAGCCAGGAACCTCAATATCCATCTCGTCAATATCATCAGGATTAGGGATATCATGCTCCGAGATTGTCTGCTCTCTGCCCTCGGCTTCGGCCTCCCGCCGCTGACGCAACATTTCGTCCCTCTGCTCCTGAAGCTCTTTACGGCGCTCGGCGAGCCTCGTCTTCGTCTGTTTCGCCACAATCCTCGCATCGACTAGGGCGAGAATGTAGCGGGCATTCGTTCGTAGGGAGGACGCCGTCAGCACCGCAAATTCGAAGAGGAACATAACCATCATATTGGGACGGGCCTGTTGGATGACGGTATTAACGCAATACCGAAGCATCCACACGTCGTAAAACGTGCTCATCAAAAGCGATACGGTCAAACGGGTGTGGAAGAGTCGGGGGTTCGCGGGCGGTTGCTGTTCCAAGATTTCAAGGCGGCCATCTCCTATCCAGCTCCAGACCTTACCAGTCACGAGACCGGTGAACATCACCAGGAACCAAGCTCCTATCTCTTCCCGGAAAATCGTCATCGCTAGACAGGTTTCGGTGATGGCGACCCAGGCACGATCGGATAACTGGTCGACTTCGACGGCTCGGAGACGGCCAAAGCAGAGTCGTTGGAGACCGAACATGAATGCACCGTAGAGGATGTAAATGAAGTTGATAAGAGCCTAGGTTCGAAACGCCGTTCGTTAGCCATCGGAGACCCCGGACAATGTTGGCAAACGGCTTTTGGATACTCACCAGCAAACAAAAGTTGCTCTGGGAGAGGTAAACCATGGCAGAGTAGAAGTTGGCACGCTGGTGGAAGGCGGATAGGACGACCGACACGGCGAGGGCCGTTGAAGCCTAGATACACGAGAAATAAATTAGCCACGCCTGTTCCTCCATAGGCTCTCGTCGTGCCATCGGAGGCATTCCATATCAATGTGCCTCATATCAATCGCAGAGAGGGGGAAGCACAGCTTCGATGGCGAACTTACCCCCGCGTACCAGGCCAACCGCATCCTGAGTCGCGGCGCTCCAAGCCAGGGATGTGACTTCTTATCGATGCGTGTGGGTGTGGAAAATAATCGATATACCTATGAACCCATTATCATCCTGGGAAAAGGTGATGATGGAATCGTGGGGTGCAGTGGCGACGGGTGCACCGGAGTTGGAAAGGGCATTTGTTAATGACTTGCTTCGTGGAATGCGTCGAAGCTGGCCTCTTCGATATGCAATATAAGGTCATCAGTCTGTCGTAGTTGCCATGTGTCGATGCTGTCCTCTTGGCGGTTCCTGATTCGCTGAAAATCTTATCACGTGATAATCTTGTTCGGGACAGCTTGAGGAAGGCCCAGCCCATTTGCATATGACCTCGAGACTGCCCATTAACATCAATTGGTGGCGGCTCCTGCGAATGGCGACAATGTCATTGCTCCAGAAGAGCATCTTGATAGGAGGGCAGATACAGTCGAGAGACCCTAGTTCCCGTGGTTTCTCTTTCCCATTTTCAACTTAAGAAATGGGAAATCATCAATGCTCTTCGATTGACACGCCCTGCGGCAGCTTCGGGCGGGTAATTCACCCCAACACTCTCCATCAAGCGAGTGCCAAGGATCCAAGTCCGTCAGCAAGCAAAATCAAGTGACAGCAGCGAGGTTATCGGATTGTTGCACCGGAGACCAGAGAACGAACAGCAGGATGAAGCTTAAGAATCAAATAATTCCAAGGGCTTAAACGAGAACGAGACTAAGAATTAAATTCGAACTCTCATCCATAACTCTTCCAGCTTTTGTTAAGCAAGACACTTCCGATGGTGTCGGAAAACAGCACCAGAAAACCCCTTTTACAAAGGCCGGAGATGTCAGCGGTGCCCGCCTCTCCCAGGGTAAAGCTGTACATCCATCTCAGGGGAAACCGACCCTGGCCAACCCCAGCATCAATTAACTTCGGAATTGAAAGGGGCTTCCAGCGGAGATGCATTCGATCGAAAGCTAAAAAAAAAGACATGAGAACAGGATTAGGATCCCGAATCCATGAAACTGTTCTTCTTCCGCTTCGGCTCTGCTCTGTCTCTGATAACCACATCCGTCCTTTCGGGGAGGTGTCGCCGTGGCAGTTTCAAGCTCAGCAAGTGCCATTGTTTCAATGTTGCTCCTTGAATAACCTATGCAGATAACTGCTTCCCTAAAATAGTGTTGCGACTACCTCTACCCCCTCTTACTCTTTCCTATATTATCCTTTTCTGCCTTCTCCTGCCTCTCCTGGTTGAGAACGCCCAATCAGTAAAGAAGGTATGAGCTATGTGTTTTCCCCGGCGTCAAACTGGGACGTGGAGTACGCAGTCTCTGGCCGAGGGCTTCGACAGCCTCAGCTATCACGGCCCTGAAAGTGGTCAGGGAGTGGAGCACGCCAAAGAGAATTGTGTAAATGCTGAACGACACAGCCGTTCCGGGACCCTGAATCTCGTTATACACGACAAATCCCAAATGCAGAAGGTCCTCGACAAGGAATTATTTTCGGAGCTTAGGGCAAGGAGAATCAGGATCTCGACATAACGCATCCATGTTGGAACTCGGACGCCCGGACAGGAACCCGGAAAACGGCCCTATCCATGTAGCTCGGATCCAACGCGTAGGCTTGAATTGTTGGCAAAGACGGTGTCGTTATCTGGGCCATCGATGAAATTGACCCCCGTCCGATCACAGGAAGTTCCCACAGAAGATTCTCCATCGTATAGAGATGCAGTGTATTCCATTCGAGCCAGATCGAATCGAGCGTCCTCGTGTGGAAATGTGCAGCTAGATTTTGAGCGATTCCTGCCATCAGGTCTCTCGCCAAATATTCATCGTGTAGCTTCTGTTTCGGCATTACGGAACGCCTTCCCTTTCGAGCTAAATAACGACCATTTCCAACTGGCTGCCGGGCATTAGAATAGAAAGTTCTTAGGGTATTGTCAGTAGCCCATATCTACATGCTGGAGGGCAGTCGGTAAGCTCCAGGTTTCGAAATGGGTCAGGAATAGCACGGCCAGGAAACAGAATAATAAGCAGAAATAATAAAAAAGCAGGCATCGACGGAGGGGTGTTCTTTTGACTAGAAACTAAAGAACAAGTTAATTGGGAAGGAGTGGCGTAAGGGAACCTTGGAGATATATTTTCTACCTTGAGCACGAGAGGGATGGTGTAAGCAGCCAACAGACGTGAGCCCCAGAGGAGGCTCTCTACGCCGTCTCCGTCTAACTGTGTCGCAACCCTTCCGCAGAACTTCATGCCAAAACCCCCTTTGACGAGTGGTACCTTGAGTGGAGATATTCTCTTCCAGGTTGAGGAACCTAGTAGGAGAGGCTGTCGTCCCCCAATTCGACGAAACAGTTGGCTCAACATCCTGTAAGTGATGGCGAAAGAGAAAATCGAAGGACTGAGTTTGTACTTGATAAGGAAAAACCCCCGAATAAAGGAACATGAATAGTTTGAAACTACCAATAAGACGAGGACATAAATAGTGAAATTTACTATTTTTCTAAGAGGGATCTTGATTAAGTGTTTCCGGACCTTTCTAGACTTGCATGTGTTAGAGAAACTGCTTTTAGTCTCCTTGAAATCCTGTTAGTGAAGGATACTCCTCTCCAATCTATCGCATGTCGTTCAATAAAGCGTGCGACCCAGGTAGGACTAACTGGAGCAGGCGGAGACGCGTTTGGACCAGCCCGCTTTTTGCGAGTGCGAAATCGGGGCGAATAGACATATTATGCCGATATAAGAAATCGATACGGTTGTAAGGAGCCTTTTCCTCTGTATCCAAAAGCTTCTTGTCGACTGGCGCTTTGCGATCTAAGTGTGTACCACGTCCTCGCGCCCGCGCCTAGAGTCGACCATAGGAAACGTCGAATTACCCCGCAAGCTTCCTCCATGGTCATTCTAAATGGGCTGCCCTGAAGCGAATAGCTTCTTCTACCCGAATCTCGAAGTCAGGATCAAATCTATTCATTTCGAGTGTGTTGTTTAGTTTGCGAAGTTGATCTGTTTACATAGCACCCCTAATGAGTAGTTGATTACTAAGATCAATAGATGTGGCGGCCCTGTGGCTGGGTTCTCGCCTCGCCTGATCCACTGCAAGAAACAAGAGTCGCGGGAACAATGACGCCCTCAACCGAGAGGCAATGCGCCGGCTGTCTTACAATACAAATAGGCCCGCTGGTAGCTCTCCGATTGCCCCTTGAATTCAATTGCCGAGGCCCCTCCCCCGGGCCGTGACCACACCTTCGACGCGGCGTAGCCTCAAGGGCCTCCAGCTGCCATTTTATCGCTCTTCTCTCTGTGCACTCGTGATCAACTTTCGTCAAGGTTGCTCAGTCTCGGAGACAGCGACTCTCTCCTCGCAGCCGCGTTGCACCCCCAAGGGGGTTTTCCTCCTTCCCGGAAGGTCCACTTATTCCCGATCAACTCATCACACTTCGGCCTGCGCTTATTATATAGACTGGGCGTAAATTCCCACTTGATTCTGTTTTCTTTTCCCATTTTCTTCCTGCTTCTATTTATATATACACACGCATACACTGGTAATATCCTTCTAGACTTGTCTTTTTTTTTTTTTTTTTCATTCCCCCTTTAGATCCCGCAAAGGACTTAGAGCAATCTGCATGCCGGATTTTCTTGGCCCTCTTAATTTTTTTTTTTTTTTTTTTTTTTTTTTTTTTTTTTTTTTTTTGTGACATATCCAGGTCCCGGCGTAGCCTCGCTTGCTTCCGGCTTAATACGGATCTCCCGCCGACCCTTCAAAATAGCCTCAGCCCCGTCGACAACAAGCATGGCCACAAAACTCGCCCCCATCATAACTCCAGCCCTCCTCTCCACCATCCGGCGTTATCCAAATCTCCCGCGTAACACGTGGTACTTCGTAGCTGCCACAACACTATCCATTATCAACCGCCCAGATGAGATTCCCCACATTTACAAGCATGCGCTAGATGAGCCGACAGACTCGGGCCCCGGTCTGGAGGAACAACTCGCCATCACGCGGAGGATAAGAGAAGCGCTGATCAAGTCTGCTGCAGTGGGTGGTCTACCAAAGGTAAAAGAAAAAGAAATAATGAAAGAAAAAAGGAAGAAAAAAGAAAGAAAAAAGAAAGAGAAAAAAGGTTTCAGTACTTGCCGTGAGACCATGGAATTAATCGTGATATAGGCGATAAACGCCCTTTTGGCCCTCAAAACAGTGACACCGCCTGATCTCCTCGATGAACCCATGGCATTCTCCCCAACGCTAAGGCCTGTCGATATCTACGACACGCCGTCCTCCCAGATCCTCAATCGCGGCCAAACCTTCTTCGACAAGGTCTACGGCAAGGTCTCCAAGCGTGTAATGGGGCAGATGGACCGATCCGGCACAGAGGATCTAGGTTTGACGGCCAGGCTCATGTACGGATACGTTCTGAGCAACACGAATGTACTCTCGTCTGCCGAGACGTCGTTCGTTCTCATCTCCGCGCTAATACCTCAGGATGTAAGAATCAGTTGCTCTTCTCCCCGTTTTCTAGACTTGTTGCTAATCACTAAACGTGCTTGTATCTTTCAGGTCAACCCACAGTTAAAGGGTCACCTCAAGGGTGCGCTGAATGGAGGAGCCAGTGTCGCCGAGGTCACGGCTGTGCGTGATGTTGTCATCAAGATTTGCGAAGCATCGGGTATGAAGAGGCTTTCGGACGATGCTCCGGGCGGTTGGGGCTGGAGGAGCGAGGTCGCCAGTCTGTGAGTTTAGCCTGTTAGCTTATGGTTGTTCTTTGACTATGGTTGCTCGTGTCCATATGCCACACGGACTAGGATGTGCTTTATGAGATAGATTTGGGCTTTGTTTGGGGGGGGATAAAACAAGGTGGGAACGGGCCCTGGAAGAACTACTTACAACATCTGGTTTAGCTTAAAGGCGTTCCATACCATAGACATCAATATCTTCCATCATCCATAGAGAGGGAATGGAAAGGATGGGAGATACACACACAACAACGCCACCCAAAGAGGGTCTCAGAGAGGAAGGCATCGTCGAACACCATCCTTCCCTATCAGGGAGTACCTCAGCACATTGAATACTCTTATGTTTGCGCTGTTATGTACCACCTCACACCAGCGACACAACTCGCAATACAGCAACTTACACTAGATAAGCAATCACCCGGGATCGCAAGTATTCCTTCTCTGAAGTACAAATACAGGGACTGATTTATTTAAACAATACACTCGAGGTATTTCGGTACTGTACTTGGCTACATGTTGGAGTGATCGTGAGAGTGGATCTGACGCGGAAGAACATTATATAAACAGCAGTACTTCTCCTCGACGTGATGTTTTCCCTTCTTTTCTCCCCTCATCCGCTTTCCCCGGTTTTCTGGCGAACTCTTTTTTTCCAATTGCCAAACTTTCTCGGCTACTCGGTTTACAAGCCTACACTAATTTTTCATTTTCACCACGATGGCGGACGTGGTTTACCCCCCTGTGGGTCTTATGATCTGCTCTGCACTGGCTACCATCTTTGCTCTTGCCTAGATGGTGACTAAAGGTGTGTGGCCAAACCTCCTAATCTTTCGGCAGTCCAAGGCAGCCAAAGATTCGGGGAAGGAGCTGTCAAAGATCAGCTCAAAGGCAGGTGAGTTCCTCCCCCTACTTAGGCCATTGTTGAGGGAGCAAGAGTCATCCCGGCAATCTCTCGCCCGCCTAAGCTCTCGAATCGACGCCCTTTGCCCGGATGTCGCTCGGATCGCATACGGGCCGACAAATGCGAGTCTCGACAGGATAGACGGCAAGCTTTCGACCAGCCAAACATCTCTCAGAGGGATAAACGACGAGCTTTCGACCATCAAGAACTCCCTCCGAGAGATAAACGACCAGCTTTCGAACAGTCAAGCATCCTTGCAGGAGGCGTTAAACCGCAACCTCGAAGCGTTCGCCGGCGTAGCCGCTCTTCTTGCCGATATCCGCGACTCGAATCAAGCCATCGTATCGCATCTGACAAGCAACAACGATACGCCTTCGACGTCGTGAGCGATGGAAAAGCATACGTCGACAATCGCTTCGACAAGTAGGACGTACGGTGACGAGCAGACCGATACCAGGGCAGATTGTTGAGATGATTCGAGAGCTCCGCCTTCATTGGACCTAGCCCCCTCCCCCCCTCCCCTTTACCCTTTCCCCCATTTAAAGTACAGCTAACTGTGCTAGAGAGCAGCGGACCGTCACCCGCTCGAAGTGACGGGGGTGGTTCCCCAAGAGTGATACTTCCTGCAGGAATGATGGACTCTTGCCGCTGTGATAGACTCCTAACCTCGGGTTGTTGATCTTGCGGGGGCCGCCCCCCCGACGATTAGCTCGCACTTCAACGTAGTGTCGGGGTCTAGTAGTCTCCTCTGGAGGCGAAGCCAAGACGAGCTACCCCCGTGTATCGTCCTGTAGCCCGATGGTAAGCCTCCCGCCCCAGTCCCTATGTACATTCTTCTGGCTAACACGATGTCGATTTCCATCCTTATCCATAGTAGCGTTTTCTTTTACGGCGGTTAGGTGGGGAATGGGAGCACCTTCGGTATTTATTTGGTAGGCATGGGCAGCAGTATCTGGACTAACTGAGCTTGGAAGTGAATGTATTCCTCCACCCTTGGGTATGTCATGTTCGCAGTCGACCTTGTTCTATCGTCAGTTTTTCATCATCAGTTCAAGGAAGATTAATATAACCAACATGGTCTATTGTCAGTTGCAGTAAATCCTGTCGGTTATTCTGTAAGCTATAGCAACCGGTAGTGACCAAGAGTACGCAGTTGTTTTGTTTGCAAGGTGACTTGGCTTGTTCATCAAGATAAACAAACAGGCCCTTAACGACTAGAGACCATATCAGCTTCAAACCTCAGGCGCGAACTAGGTACTCATCTTAATAGAAGCCAGGAGTTATGGGCACGGTCATAGGTAGAGGCAGGCGCCAGGGGCAGGTCGGACAGCGGGCCTGGTTCACCTGCATACGACGGGGAAAGATCTTCGAAATGTTCTATCCAGATACCTACACAACCTGCCACACCAGAAACTCTATCTGATTACCACCTGTCTCCCGAACGTCATCCACCTCCCCTTACCCGCGCCGGTTCGTGATCGGTAAAGACTACAGCAAGAATACGACAAAGTGCTTTGCGCAGAACGTAACACCGGCCTTTCTCGGTTTGTTTCTCTTCAAGTGGACAATAGTTCTAATTTGTGGATTATGTGTATGCTAATGGTGCAGAGGGCCTTCTAGAAGTGGCATCTATGACAACGGAGCCCGCTCCATTTTCACGAGCAGAATGTCGGTTCCTGGCGAGATGTGTTAAACCTTGCGAACCAAGACAGGTGGTTTTTGAGTTTGGACTTTGAAGTCTACATATGAAGTCAAAAGATGCGACGCGGTATGATGATCCAAAAGACATTTTGACAACATATAGGGGGTGACAAAAATGAACTTGTTGACCTGGCCTCATAGCTAATGTTACTCCGCATCGGCGTGTTAAACAGTGCCTAGCCGCCTACTTCACCATACCATCGTTTCTCGATTCGTCCTCGCGGCTCTCTTTCCAATTCAACCAGACACAAGAAGCCCATCTTTGTCTCCTCGATGTCCGGACAACCTGCCTGTCACGACCTAGGTACTGGGAAGATGTCCCTCTATGACCTGTATCAAGCGCTATTCGAAAGTTGCCGACGGCCGTTCTTGCCGGGGCCGCCGCTAGAACGCTTTCCGTTCCCTATGGAGATTGTCCACCTAATCGTCGAGCATCTTGTCCCGGTGGATCGTCTTCGGTTATCGTTAACATGCAAACCGTTCTACCACACATTCTTCCCCCGAACACTCCAGCTGAGTCGAGGCGAGAAGGAGGACTTCCTGCTTGGCCTCGAGCGGGACATAGCAAGAGTCTACTATTGCGATCACTGCGTTAAACTCCATCCGTGGAGGCCGGAGTGGGCAAGGCAATACGTAAATTACAACCCCTATAATTTTTATTGCCACGCTCGACAGGGCATCGACTTCGGAGTATTCGATCTTTGGATAACATACAGCTATGCCCGACTCGTCATGAATCGTCATTTCTACGGAAAATCCCACGGTTTGCCCGTTAGTGTACTCGACAATTACCGTCACTCGTCGGACTCATATGGTATTCATGTTTCAAAGCTGTCCAAGGGGAGGATCATCAAGGACGAGTTATATCTCCGCCGGAGAACCGAGGCTAGACATCCTTTCGGACGCGAGCCGGCGTTGAAGAGGTATCTCGAGGCGGAGTACTTGAGAGTCTGTCTGCACCTCTATGTCGGGACCAAGATGCAGTGTTATGATGAATCCGGAAAACTGTGCGTACCCTACGGGCCTGCGGGCGAGATTATAGTGTTTGAGCAAAGGGGGAGGTGTGGCGAGTGTCAGACAGAGTACGAGATTCGGATGACGAAACGCTTCTTTACGGGATGGAATCTCCTCATTCACACGTATTCACGGATTGGGAGGTGTCGGTCGAGTCAAGACCCCGTTTGGATTCATATGGAAGGGAGAGAGAGGGATGTTGAGAATGTTGAGAGCCTCCCCGAGTTTGCGGAGGGCGAAATGTCGATAAAGGATCGATGGCTAGCGAGTGAGGAGACACAGACACAATACCGAACACTTTTCTAGGCTTCGACAGGGTCTGGTGATACTTGATATGCATCGTCTGCTGATGAAATATGAAGAGGGGTTTCCTTTCTAAGTCTCGACGTATGCTTCATACCTTCGAGCCCATATCTCACTTCTCTAGAGAAGTCTCAATCTCAAGGTTAGCGATGTTATCCCACAGAACAAACGAGTTCATCGAGTCTCCATTCCCCATTCTAACCGTACATGCCATCCTTCTCCAGGCGGGCATTCATCCCGTGATGTAAGCCAAAGAGAAGGAGCACCTTCCGCACCTTCCCCAATACAAGCTCCACCATATCACCATATGCTTTATATATGAGTCCACGGCAAGAACTTCCAACCGAGCAGCTCAAGCGCCAACACTACGACCAAGTGGCCTAGCGGTCAATTGGTCAATTAGAGCGCTCAGAAAGTTAGAAAAGGGTATTTTTCGTAGCTACATGTCCAGCGGGGAATTGCTTCGTCCGAGGTCCAGCCAGAGCAGCGCATGCGATTTTTTTTTGCATTTTTCTTTTGCTTTTGCTACCCTCACTGTCTATCTATCTATCTGCCTTTCTCTCTCTATCTCTCTATCGTGTGTTGTGTGGTGTATGAATGCTCTCGTCAATAAGTTCTAGAACGATGGATGAGAAAACATCTGACACGACCTCATCCCAATCGATTGTCTCCTACCCTCGGTCTGACAGGCGTAGGGCTGAGCTGCATCCCTAAGGCTGAGCTGGGCTTGTTGAATCTGACAATCGTTGGCTCTCAGTGACATACACTCATCCGCTCAACTCGAGGAGTCATAATCCTGATTTCCCTAGAGGGCCCTCGGTCTGAGCCATCGATGCTAAGCCGCCTTTAGACACGACTTCGAATCCATCAATGTCTACCAATCTTTAGATCATTAAGAGTAGAGAGTCGAGAGCATCGTCTCGAACGTCTAACTGCCTCTCGTTGCTCGGGAAAATGATTGAGACCCATGAGGCGACCATGTCTTTTCCACTCCTCTTACACATCGCGGGTTATTTCCTTCCCTCGCATTTTTCAGAGTAGCATTCACCTCATCTCATCTGATTGCTCCCGAGTCGTCGATGCTGCAGCGAACCCAAAACTTTCCCTATGCTCAAGCCTTTCCCCAGAGCGTCACCGGGAGACATTACACACCTTCCTAAACCAGCCTAAAGACCACCGAGAAGGCATCTCGTCATCGAGACACAACCCTTCCACCAACAACCTGCACCTGCACGTCGCCCCCCCTTGTGCCCCCAGCTCCCTTGGTTCTCTCTCCCTATCCATCCATCTAATTGGATTCCCCAATCCAAACAAGGAAAGAAAGCTCACAAAAAGCGGTATGCATCCCCCGGAAAGCACAAAAGAGAAAGAAAGAAAAAAATCCCGCCATTCTGGACATGGGTCGCAAATGCGGTAAGCTGACACCTGAATAGAGCTAAACCCCCGCCCTTTCTTTTTTTTTTTTTTTTTTTTTTTTTTTTTTTTTGCTCACGAACGTTCCCAAATACCAGTGTCTCGGGACCTGGAGACGCCGAAGGTTGGTACGACGTTGGACCGGGGCGGGCTGGGGTTGAGGGGCATCGGGGCTGTGAGGGTGCATAAAGGAGGGTGTTATTCAATGGAAAGGGGGAGAGCCACCTGCATGAGAATGGAAGAAAACACAGTAAGAGAAGCGAAAGATTGGTATCAAGAAAGGACAAGTTGCGCTTTTCCCCATTAGCGGAGAGGACATTGAAGTGCTGTCGTCGTGTGTTTGGGTGATGCTGGAAACTGATCGGGGGCCCTTCCCTAAGGAGGACACATCAGATCTATTGATTTCACTAATGGATAAAGGTCATCTTTGGTCAATGTTTTTTGAAGCCCTCTCTTTCCTGCCATCCTTTTTGGCTCTCCTAGCCGACTCGGGTCCTGTTCCGCAGCCACCAAAGAGAGGGGGCGTGAAGAGACGAAGTTGGGCAGTCCCTTGGGCCAGAATTATGAAGGCCTTGAAAGATGGTCCTGGCAGAGGAACCCGTCCCGTTCCAAAAGGACGGAGGGATATTGGATTTGACTCGGTGGTGTGCAACAAAGAGAACATGCAATGTGCCGCCCTGAGAGCACATCCCGCCTCTGCCTCTCCATCACCTTTCCAAAACGGGTAACAAGAGTAGAACGGGTTGTTGCGTCTCCTGTTCAACGCAAAGAAAAGGGGTTGGCAAGAAAGACGGTAGTTTCTGGCTCGACCCGAAGGCCTTGTGTAGAATTCAAAAATATAATCTACCACTCAATGCACTTCCGGGTCAGTGGGGGATTTCGGCCTTTGCCATGTGGGAGAGTTAAACTTGGTGGTTAACCGGTGACCGGGATATTGACTCCTCGACTCACTAAA